GGATTTGTTCATATTAGTATTGCTGCTATTTTCTCATTCCCTTCCACCCTGTAATATTCCTGCTGTGGTGTTGTCGCCCTGGTCCTTAGGATTATTTCTTGGGTCCCCTGTGTGTTTCTAACAGAGGATTCCTCCCCTGCTGCCTTACAGAGGAGTGTGCTCTCTAGCTTGGTTTCAGCAAGGAGTTTTTTTGGGTGGACTTAGAGTTAAGAAGAGTCAGAAAACTGAGTAATAGCTGAGGCTGTTCTTGGTGCAGCTACACACTCCGTAACTTGTTCCGTGGAAACTAGTGACATTTCCATTGTCCTAAACAAAACTGCACTGAGCAAAACACTGTAAAGTTAAATGAACTACACATACAGAAAATCAAATATGCAGTTGGGTGATTTGTATCACCTACTAGAGATGAAGCCATTTTGCATGGCTGTTTTGCCATCTTAAATACATAGTCTCCATTGGTCATGGACTAAATAAATAAGCATTTTAGATGTTCTCTAGCTAGGTGAAACTTTTGTAATTTTGGAGGTAGAGGCTATGCTGTGGTGTTGCCAGCCTACTTAAAAATGAAGTTCTCTGATTATTTCTTTAGAATGTTTAATCTCTTTAGAAATGGCATAAAGATGACAGGTCTTTGTTCCCAGCAATGGTTTTGGTGTGGTTTTTTCAGAAAAGCAATTGTTAAACTTTCATTGAATGCAATGTAGTTGCTGGAGATTTTCCTTACAGTTGGATGACTGGACATATCTGTAATGATAGCTTTTTCTGGGCTTATTTGACTCATCAATTCAGAAAATGGTCTTTTACCAGTGAGTAAACTTAAAAGTGCCTTTACTCCAAAGTATGAATTGCAATGCTGTTGAACAGACAGAAGTGGGAATCATAAAAACTGACTAGAAAGAAATTACATGAAAGTAGCCTTTGATTCTGCTGATGTTTTGTGTATTTTAGTACTGCATGGGAGTGGCTAGTAGTCCTAACCATGTTTATTTTTTCTTCCCTTCTAGCAAGTGAAGATTCCATACTGAAATGAACAAAAGATGTGATTTGAATTTCACACGTGGCTAGGCTGTGAACTGTCCAATGGTTTCTGAACTCTGCATGATATTCTATCAATAAAGTACTTACTACACTTCAGTTGGTATTTTTTGAGTGAATTGCCCAGAACAGCAGCAGAAATACTTACAGAATGTGACAGGAAGCATCTGTCCCAACCAGGCCATTGTTGCAGCTGAATCCCCCCACTATTACCCCAGCAATAGCCAGTCACTACACCCATTACTCATAGCTAATGTTTTTGATCAGAAAGTACATACAATTTAATACACATGGGCAGGTGGAAGGAGAGGGGAGTGGTGAGGCACTGACTGCCTGAACCTGTTACTTAAATGGCTTGTTACTTAAATGGAGTTCCATAGAAATCATAGAATGTTAAGGGGTTGGGATGGATCTTAAAGATGATCTAGTCCCAACTCCTCCTGCCATGAGCAGGGACATCTCCCACTGGACCAGTTTGCTCAAGGCCTTGTCCAGCCTGGCCTTGAACTCTGATAGGGTTGGGGCATCCACAGCCTCCTTGGGTTCCAGTATCTCACCAGCCTCAAAGATGTAGAAACATTAGTTAAGGAATTTGCAACCACTGAAAGGACAGTGGTCACAATCCTCTGGCTAAGTGACTATATGGTTAGATGGTACCATTTTGGGGAAAAGACAAAAATTACTTTTGTCACCTGGCCTGTGTAATATCAATTAGAAAGTCAGTGTTCTCCTCAGACACTCAGCCTGCGTTAGGCAGTGAGAGTGATAGCCACGGCAGTGGGCAGAAGGGCAGAGCAGGCTGCCCAGAGCTCAGGGCTGTACATCCTGTGGCTGGACATGACCTACGTGTCAGAACAGAAGACAGTGGGAGCAACTGATGAAGTGTCTCATCAACATGCCTGAGGAGCAGAGTTTCCCACCACCAGGCACTCCTTTCTGGAGCATTGTGTTTTGCCATCAATGCTTTTCTGTAGATGAGCCAGCCTGGGAATCAAGGCATCAGGGACTGTCCCAGGATACCACAGATGCTACCCTGCACTTAACTCTTGGATAATCTAAGACTGTAGCTGACTGTTGTCTCACTGGTCCTGTCAGCACATCCTGCCCCTCCTCTCAGCTCCAGTGCTATAGACATGCTGCTTCCTATGGATCTCCAAGGACTATTTCTGCCTCCTGTCACAGGTCCTTTCTCTTGAAGGGGAAGTAACCCTTGACTGTCCAGCAGGGATGCATCTTCTGTGCTGGAGACAGGCAAGAACTCTGCAGCCCTCAAGAGTAAGCTGCAGGGAAAAAAAATTCCCTACAGATTGTACCCTGTCAGAAACTGATATAGCGCACAGTGGGAAAAAAAGGAGAATGAAACGTCTTGCCTTACTGTTTCCTTTATTACCCTCTGATTGCTGTGTGTGGCTTCCCACAGCAACATGAGAGGCAGTCAGCTACTGAGCAGCAAGGGCATGGGACCACTGACCTACAAAAATGGTCCAACAAAATGGCCATGGACAGCAGAGCTCTGTGCTCTGCTTGGGGTGCTGAAGGTCCACAGGCAGGTAGAAGAGCAAGAGGAAGGGGACGGAGGAGCTTGTGGAGATAGCAGGGAGCTTGTGCTGTCCGCACCAGTGCAGCTTCCTGCTGCGAGATCTCTGCTGTTCTGTGACTCTAGGGCTGCCCTTTTTGGAAGGGAGCATCAGAGACCCTACTGCTTCCATGGAAATGGTCCACACTTCGGAAACAGCCTCCTCCACTGGCACCACAGCCTGCGTGTCCATGGACACCCCTCTGCAAGTGTGCATGATCCCCTTTGGAAATACACAGCAGCATGCCCACCCCAATGCTGTGTGGGACAAGTTGTGCTCCCATGTGGCTGTGGGCACGTGAGGCACTGCCACCCACAGCTCTGTGTCCTGCCAGCACTGCTGGGTGTGATGGGCAGGCTGCCCGTGCTGCTTGTGTGAGAAGCCCTGCTGGGGCAGCCTGCAGTGCTCTGGGCACTTCACACTGGGCACAGAGGGCAGGGATATTAGTCTCCGGGTTTCATTACCCAGAAAACATTTGAGAACATAAGGAGCTTTTCTCAGCATTTAAGTGTACAGTGTCTTGTGATCCTCAAAATCTCACTGCTTCCCACTCTCTGATACAATAACCTTCTGGCATTTTCCCACCAAAAGAAAAACAATTTCTTGTTTGACTTCATCTGCTGTATGATAAAAGCTTCCTACATGGTTCTCTGCTCTTGTGAGACCCCACTTGAAGTACTGTGTCTAGATCTGATGCCCTCAACATAAGAAGGATATGGAACTGTTGGAGCAAGTCCAGAGGAGGACCACAAAGTTGGTAAGAGGACTGGAGCATCTCCCCTACAAAGACAGGCTGAGAAAGTTGGGGCTGTTCAGCCTGGAAAAGAGAAGGTTGTGTGGAGACTCATGGCAACCTTCCAGTATCTGAAGGGGCCTACAGGGAAGCCACAGAGGGACTCTTCATCAGGAACTGTGTGATAGGACAAGGGGTAAGGGGTACAAACTGAAACAGGGGAAATTTAGGTTACATATCAGGAAGAAATTCTTTCCTGTGCGGGTGGTGAGACACTGGAACAGTGTTGCCCATGGAGGCTGTGGATGTCCCAACTCTGGGGGTGTTCAAGGCCAGGTTGGATAAGGCCTTGAGCAACCTGGTCTAGTGAGAGGTGTCCCTGCTCATGGCAGAGAGGGTTGGGATTAGATAAATTTGAAAGTCCATTCCAACACCTAACATTCTACAATTCTATGATTCTTAACGAAACTGAGACAAACAGCATGAAGTCATTACTAATGGCATATTTAGCTTTCATGCAAGTGGACTTTCTGTATTTTCCTGAAAGACAAGTTGCCTCTCATGGAATTGCTGTGTAGTGATAGAGGATTACATCTTGCTTACTACACTGAGACACAGATAAATGATGACCATGTACCACCATAGCTCTAGTTTTCCTTTTACTTGCAGTATTTTTGTAATGCAAAACAAGATACTGAAGGGTAAAGCCCTGAAAGATAGCAAGAGCAATAGAAGAAGAAGAAAATCCCCAGCAAAATAGATATCCAAACAGTTTTAAAAAAGAGAGAGAGAGAATGAGAAAGGAGCAGAGAAGGTGTCTCTACTACTACAACAGTGTAATTAAATGCTCTAATATGTTTACATGAATAAACATGAAAACTAACTTTTATCTAAAATAAAAGGGTACAGGTCATCAAGTCTGTAGGGGAATCTAGAAAACAGACACCTCAGAACAGGAGGAGGAAAAGGAGGGGTTGGTTCTGATCAAGTGTATTAAATAACTGGCACTATGAGGCAAAACAGAACAAGTTTAGGAGATGCCACAATTCAAGTTGCTTGGTTAACTGTAAGTGGAACTGTAATGGGTAATGATAACCCTGTCTTCTTAAAATCTTGTGTGAAAGAACAACGCCTCAGTTAGCACACTGTGGAACCTGCTCCTGAAGAAAGCAGCTACTGGGTGTTATGGCTCCATGCTTTGTGATGGCAACGCATCCCAGTTCTTGAAGTGAGTGCAGAACATTTATCTGTCCAAGTGTTTCTTGGATTTACATGGAATCAAAGTGTTTTAGAGCAGTTCAGAGGTTTACTATGATCAGTTTTCATGCTTTATCCTTAGCCTCAGATTTCTTTCTGATATCGTGATATCCAGATATAGGATTTATTCTGCTATCCAGATATAGGCTTAGATATGACAAATTTGGCTCTTCTTCTGTTTTCCTAGTCTGCAGGCTATGGTTGTATACACTGTCAATCATATGAGGTTGTATGGAGTAGGACTATCCTGATCAGTTTTGCTGTAAGAAGTGTTTCAGTGCAGGAGAAATGCTCTTCCATAGTCCTGCAACCTGATTTATTGGGCCCAGTGTTGTTCTGATTTCCCATATGCCATCTGACATAAGGTGCATTACATGGAGCAAGAGACAGGACAGAACTGGCTCCTTACCATCAGGAAGAGATGCAATTAAGGCAAACAAGATCTAGCCCTTCCCTGGTTGATCATAAGCCTAATAAAGTATCAGAACAGTCCAATCAGGAATGTATTTTTATGTCTTTTTTTTTTTTTTTTTTAAGCGTGGGCATCCTCATTTTAGGTGGCATATATTGCATTGATAATATGTCTAAAGTATGCTACAGGTTTTGGAAGCTGGAGCTGTTCCTCCGTTACAGGTTATTCCATCTGCCATGTAAAAAGAAACACAGAATTAGAGACACAGTCACAAATTTTCTTCTTAGTTTTTTAAGGACTTTTATGTTTTCCAATGACCAGTGTAGGTCATAACTATAGTACCCTGTCTAGAGCTGCCTGCTGTGCAAAGTAATTGTATATGTAAGGCTGCTTGGAAAGAGTATTTTAGAGTTAGTAGAAATCTTCCTCGCTTGAATATCAATTACTTGTTCATAAAGTAATTCTTCAGAAATTTTCCAAATAATAGTTAAAGCACTTTTGATATTTTAATTTAACTTGTATGAATTGAACTGAGACAAGACACCTAGATAGCTCTAATAATTTCTGAACTGTGTCACTTGAGGGCTGCTGGAATTTTGTTGGAAAAAAAGGAGAGTTCAAGATACAGCCTCTGTGGAGCGGAGGCATCGAGTTCTGGCAGATATTTGATCAGACATTTGGGAGAGGCCAGGACGACCTTCTGCTTCCACATTTCTGAGAGTCAAACAAGTGCTCAGGCTGCCAAACAAGCTTTCACCCAATGCCCGCTACAGCCAATGGATTTCAGTACTACACAGGCTGGGCCCACAGAAAAAGAAAAACAGGTTTGACCAAAACAGATTGCTGCTAGGTTCTACCATACTGCTGGCTTCTAGGTAGTACTTAATCTGGACTAGAAATGGGATGAACCATTGTTCCTCAAGTGTTCCCCCTAGGACCCTGTTGACTTTTCTTAGCTCCTGCTTTATGACCTGTGGGACAGCACATAGGCCACAGTCCCCGAGTATAAAGGGATGTTTCCCTGCTGTTTTCCAGGGACAGCAAACGACTTTTGGCTATCCTTAGCTACATGGGAACTTGTGCTGAATGGATTCTCACTAGTTTCCCAGAAACTAGTTCTTGGGAATTTAAGTGGGTGGCCTTTTTGACAGCCAGCCATGGTGCCTTCAGCCTTGCCAGTGGAGCCAAATTTAAGAAACTTTTTGTGGACATCTTACTCTGCCATCTTAGCAAAGCTTGCTGCGGGTCTGTGAGAGTATTGCATATGTATGTTTCTGAGTTCAGAATGTAAAGCTAATTACTGTTTCTGACCTTTCTTTGCAGCCATTCTCTCTTCCTCTTTTTTCTTCTCTTCCTCCAGAGCTTTCATTTTTGCATCATACTCATCAGCACGGGTCTTCCACTCATTTCGATTGTTCAGGAGCCCATCAAGCATAGGCTGAATTTCCTCATGGAAACGTGAAAATTCCTAACCAAAACACACCTGTCAGCACAATGCAGTGCAGCGGCAGTGCTGGTCCATCGTACCCCAGGGCAGACCCTGACACCTCACCTCCAAAGCTGGCTTATGCAGAGAAAGCATTAATGGCACAAACAAGCACCGTGCTGCAACACCTTGCAGAGGGGCAGATATTACCTCCTCTACTTGTCCCTCTCCCCTTGAGTGGTGTTGCTGCACTGGGACTCACTCACCTGGTATTTGAGCCCCTGTTGAGAAGGATGGGGTATGCAAGGGTACCCTTTGCTTACCTTATAGACAAACGTACACACAAAGTCAATGAAACCCACTTGAAGCTTTGGAAGCTCAGCAGCTTTCCTTCGGTCCATCATGGGCTGTGGGAGGACACAAGTTGACCATGATTTATGAGAGCACTTAATTGAAAAACACACTTCTATTTTCTCCCCAAAATTGCCTTGTTGTGTCAGCCTAGCAGTTCTGTCATGCCATACACAGAGGCTGTCCATGACAGCCTTCTTTCTCCACTGCAGAGGAGTGAAGTGGTCTGACTTCCTTTGCCATTTTAGTAGAAATTTTAGACAGCTCTTTGAGTGTCTGTGGATGGGGAGGAGGACAGAGAATCTTTCCCATGTTTGTCTCAGATACCTGAGGGAAGGTCCATTATAGGGCTGAAGAGGTTTTGAATTCCATAAAACATAACTGAGCACAAAATTATATTCTTATAAGACCTTGCCAATTAATATATTATTTGTAATGCCACCGTGGATAGATGGGGTGTATGAAAGTCTTCTTAAATAAAACCCAAACCACACAGGTGGAGGCTGCATCAAGGAGTGATTCCTGTCCCTTTCAATACCAAATTTAACTATGTGTTAAAAAAAAAATATTAGAAACACCCTTCCATTTACCAGAAAGTTTCTTGACTCTACAGAGTTTGTGTTTGCAGTTTTTCTCTTTATCAGAAACTATACTTTCTTCTGTGACTTATCTATTTAATTTACATTTTTTCTGTAAGGGGCCAGCACAAAGTCTCCAGGGGGACTCCACTCCTCGATGGTTCACAGTCACTGAAGCCATCTAACTATAGGGAGAGCTGGACAAGAATCACTGGGTATTGTCAGAGATTCTTCACTGAGTACACACTTTTCCAATGGATTTTGGCAGGCATGGTGATTTTAGGCAGAGTCACAGCACTGTGACAGCAGCACTTCTTGTAGTAAGTCTCTGCTGAGACTTGCTGTCTGAACTGAGCTGCCTGGCTCTAGCACGGTACTTACAATAGGCTGTTGCTGAAGGACGCTTATTTCTAAGTCTCCTTGCTCCCAGAACTCAGCTGCTACCAGTAGAGCTACCTACATTGACAAGGAGGGAAAAAGAAAAGTTAGTACCAACTTCAGCCTCGTAACTTGATGCGCTTCAGGCCTCCACCATGAAGAAAATCTGACTTCTAACCCTTATGTGTAGTGACAGCTCTACAGTCTTATTGCACTTGATCTCATTAGTCCACTGTTCACCTATTAAGAAACATTTCCAACACTACTACAATCTGAAAGAATGGTTAATCCATCAAGACTGTAGCTATTCCTTTTGGTAATTCTGGTAGGAGACTGATTGACCTTCCAGGCAGCTTAGGAAATTGCATTACTTTGAAGTATAAACTACAGAAATCTAATGATATATCAAGCACCTGACCTTACTCTGGACTTCCCAAGGCTTTGTGATTGCTGACAAGTCACAGGCAGTCATCATCATTGCCCTAAAAACAGGAAAGAAATAAATTTATTGTCTATAGCCTGCACCTTACTTCTTGCAGGCTCAGGAACTTCATGTCCCAATACTGTGTCGGGTATCCCCTTGTTCCTGCTGAAGTGATAAAGAAAGACATGCTGCTGTAACAGCCTTGATTCTGACTGGACATTCATCAAGAATTGCTCTCTTTGTTAAAATGGAATTGAGATGGGAAACATTGTTTCTGACATTAGCATGTTTGCTGCTTTAGTCAGTGCTGGGCTGAACTTCTTGGCTTTGGAGTAGCATCTCTGTCTCCCTCATGGATGTGTAGCAGTGCAGTCGGCAGTGAGATTGTGAGTGCACTTCACTGCCAGTGCAGAGCATCCTGCAAACCATCTGTCAAGTCACAACAACAGCACTGTGACTCAGGCTGGTTGCCACTGGGAAGAACAGCTAATGAATTGGATGTCCCTGCTTCTGGTCTACAGGCCACAGGGTGGCCTGGTAGGAATATACAGCCAGAAGGGATCCTCCATCTCCCTACGAGTATGTGCCCAGATTTATTTGGAGGAAGAACTACTTTTTTTTTTTTTCCCCTTTTTAAACCCTGCTTCTCCAGAAGGTCAAATTTAAGCCTGCAGTAATATATCATGTGCTGATTTTGCACCAAATGCAGCACAAAGGGTATACTGGAGCTCTCACCAGGTGTACACATCACTAACCTTTCCAGAGCTGATTACTCACATGACAACCTCTTTCTTTGTTGTCTCCAGAGACAGGTATTCAGTCCAGGCAGTCTCACTATCATATGTCTTAGACTCGTCAACAATCTTTTGAAACATTGTTCTCTTTCTTTGAGGGGAAAAAAAAAGTTTTACAAAAAAAAAAAGGGGGGGGACAAAAGGAAACAAGGAAACAAACATGTTAAAAACAGATAGCTGTTCCTGGTATTGCTAACCCTTCCAGAAGGATTTCCAGTAGTTGCTCTCCTGGCACTTAGAGCATGTATGAAGTAGTTTTGTGATGTGGCCTGTCTTCTCTGCTAGCATTGAAACATCAGGTTTCTTCAGATTTTATACCACTCAAAACATGGATGTATCATGTATAAACCATTCCTCAGAATTCCCTACATATGTTTAGGTATATAAATAAGGTTAACAGTGATTGACTAAGTATACAAAGACAAGTAGCTTTAAAAATACTCCAGCTTTAGGTTTCTACAGTTTGCTTAACATTCAAGGAAAAAGCCTCTTTATTTTGCCAGCAAAGGTGAAAGCATTTCTCAGCTGACATAACTTGCAGTTGTACATACTTTCAAGGTCCTGCTCATGTCTCACAACTACACTTATTTTTAAGGCATTTACAATAGTTTCCACTACTTAAGAGAAGCAGATGGTGGTGCTGGGGTTTGTTGGGGCTTCCTTGAGGACCTATCTACATCAATATTCCTGGGTCTTAACTAAGACTTTGCTTGCAGTTCATGGACCAAGGAGGTCAAGGACCAGTTTGTTCCCAGCTGGTGAGGAAGTGGTGGTATGTGCTCCCACACAGACATTGTATCTTCAGAGTAAGACTTTGGGGTATTGTAATCTCCCTCAAATTCCTCTTCTGTGGACTGTTTATATTTTGCATAATTGTACTGCAGTACAAAACACAATAATCTGGTCTTGACACAGTACTCTGAAAGCACATTTTGAGAGCTCCTTGTTAATTAGGCAGTCATATGTCATTGAATTTCAGCCTTATGTCCCAGAAAGTTAGCACACACTGCTCCAAGATGTTTGGCAATTTTGGCTTTTGGGTGTGAAATAGCCTGTTAGCTGGATATTCACTTACAATAGACCACTTATTATTTGTGTCATGCTGCTCTCCCAGAGAAGTTAGTGCAGCCTTTGCCAGACCATTTGCCATTTATGAGTATTTTAAGTGTTGGAGTGCTAGGCTAAAAAAAACCCAAAACCTGACATCTCTTTCCATTAGGGGATCATATAACCCTGCCTTGTTGGAAATAGAGGGTTAAAAGGTCAAGTACGTGGCTTGACAGAAGTTCAAAATTCTTTTGAATGATTTGAGTTCTCCCACCAGCTCTGCAGTCAATATTAAAGGCAGCCTCCCAGAGCCAGTGTCTGTGAAGAAACTGCTACACGGGTGGGAGGCTTTCAGAGCAAAGCATCACATTTGGCCCTTGTAAAGTGCCAGCTGCTTTCTGCCCTTCACACACAGAGTACGTGACTGACTTACTTGAAGTAGAGTGCCAGGTCTGTTGCTATAATGGCAATTTCCATCAGGTGAATCACGTGCTCGTGCTGTCTGCGGTTGAGGTTCTGACATATATTCAGTGACTGAAAAGAGAAGGAAAGGGAGTTGCAAAATTCAGGCACTGTGGGTTTTTATGAGTTCCTGGCCACCTCCCTTTCCCAAAGGTGTTCACTTTTATTTTCTTTTAACGGCTTCAGCTTGCTCCCCTGAGTTGCAAGGGTTGTGAGCCCTGTTCTCATGTGGGTGGCTGGTTTCCTCTTTTGTTCACTGAACCGGGTCTGTATCTTGAAACTTGTTACACAGCGTGCACCCAAACCCCATCCCCTGACCCCAGTGCAAATTTGCCTGAAATTAAAAGTTAGCTGTGGGAATGTGTCAGCCTTAGTCCTGACAGAGGGGCTGCAGGAGAACAATCCTTTATTTAACATATTCCTATGTGGATAATGATGTGTCTTCTGAAGGAACCAAGTCATGCACTAAGGAAACCTCTGTGTTTTGGTCCTGGGTGAGGATAGATTGCTTGGGGACAGAGGCAGCTGCAATTTCTCAGTATCCAATCCAGAGAAAGGTCTTGTGCTGACAGCTCTGTTGTTAATGAAAAATTTTCCTAAAATTAAATTATTCATGCCCTTATATTACAGTACATTACCAACCTCCTCAGAGAGCAAGAATTTTCCAAATTCCAAGTGATGTCTCTCTAAAATTGAGGATCCATGAAGTTTAGCTAAGGGATTTTGAGATCTGGTTATGTAAAGGAAAGATGAAAAATGTAAGTGCAGCATTTAAAAATAAATAAGAAGTGTCTCATTTTTTATTTATTTTTTGTCACACACATAAGTTTAACTCCTTTTAAAAGGGTTAAGAGTAGCACTTTTCAGTAAGTAATGACCTCAGCCTAATTAAAGACTTTTGTGACACTGCTTATAACTATTTGGACACTGTATAAGACAGTCTTTCAACTACAAAACTTCCCCTTAAATGTTGTATCTGACTGCATTGTAATTACTCAGCTTAGTAAGCTTGTTTAATTCCTGAGTTAAATACATGTTGATATCTAGTAATAGGACTATAAAACCCTGCAATCCTTGGACACTTTCCTTGCTGAAAAGCAAGGCCCTCTTGTATCAAAAGCGTGAGCCAGCTTCACTCAGCGTTTTTCCAAAGCACCAGAAAACAGTGAGACAGTATTGCCAGCCATCATTGCAAAAGAGCTATGATCTGACACTACTTTAAGGGAGCAACAGGGTCTTGACTAGTCAATGAAATCATGCAATTTTTTCTCTGTAGCTAACAACTACCTACTGAGAGCAGCACTCTCACGGGTGCTTTGTTTCTGTAGGTGGTGAGGGCAGTGCCGTGCATGGTGCTTTCCCCATAGGTACCTTCCATCAGAAACTAGTTGTCTTATGCCCAGGGTGCTCCTGGTGGCATCATGGGTCTCCTGTGGCACTCAGGCTACCAAGTGCCTTCTAAACTGTAATGGTAGTGTAAATTTTGCTTTAACCAAAGGAGGTTTGCTAGGAGGTAAAGCAAGCCCCAGAGAGCACAGCAATTTTTCAGCGTCACCACTGACCAAAGCATAAGCCAAAGTGCTGTAGTAAGCTGAAAAGCAGGGAAATTTGCAAAAGAAGTTTGTTACCCCTGTGTATTAAACAGAGCTGTGCTGGAGTTTGGTGTGGTCAACAGCCTGATTCTACTCAACCTGAGAGCAACAGAACTGGTTTGAAGCAGTAAGAAAGTGCTTACTTCATTTGGTAAAGGTTGTTGGTTCCCCTGTGGTCAATATCGTGGCACAGAGCAGCAGTTACCATTGCAAGGGCTTCAAGGTCTGTGTAGTAACGCTTGAGTTTGCCAGTCTGGAGGGAGAGAATGTGCATGCCATATGTTAACACCTCGTACAGGAACAGGTACTGACCTGTGACTGCTCTGTGCCAGGGATCTCCTTACTGAAATAGTCCAGGAGAACTGAAAACATTTGTGAACCTAAACACCACACATGGTAGGCTTAGGTTAAAACGGGGAATCAGCTGGAAACAGAACATTTCAGACTCAGGTAGGCATATGTGTGGTGCATATGTGCTTGATGCACATCTACAGTGTTGTCTGCATCCTGCTATAGAAGTCTCATGCCCTAGGGTTCACCCAGGTTGTCATAAGCACCCCTGCAGTCACTGGACAGAAAGTACTATGTGAAGAAGTTCCTCATCTTTCTGGGCAATGTGATGTCCCAGCTGAATCACCCAAGGGATTGTGGTAGGCATAAGCCTGCTGCCAGATGTGCAGGCAGATGTGTGAAACCATCCTCAGTGGTTCCTGGCTGGTCAATCCTTGGTGTGGAGCAGCAGGCAGACACTTGTTTTTCTTGTTGAGGTGTTTATTGCCCTGAGAGCCTGTGAGAAGTGGCACTTGCTGTGTTCACACTAGCGATATACTTACACCCGTGTCTGTCCTACCTGGAAATGGAAAGCATGGGGTTGCCTCCATCCCAACCTAACTTCAATGTCTGGCTCTTACTGTCAGAATCTCTTGGAAGAATGGAAGTCCTGTAGTCTCTTTCCCCTACTCTGCAGACGGATTTAGTCTGGAGTCTATTCAACACCACAGACACCTGAGAATTAAAGCATCCCATTCATTGGCCAGCATTGACCAAAGATTCAAATGTAATGCAAGGGCTGTTACCTAAGGCAAATGGAGACCTCATTCATCAGGACCTGTGCTAGGAGCGACAAACCCTTTTCCTATACCAGGATTCAAAGGGATACCTGCATATTTCTTAGGTGCTGTAAATAAACTGTGCCACAGAATTAACCAGGGTGGTGTTACCTTACCATCAGGAGCGTGAACATGGTCTGTGCAACATTGAAGCCATGACGCCAGTTGTGGTAAGTTATCTTCCGGTAGCCTTTGCTGACGGAGTACACAAACCTTACCAGAACCTGCAAATGGGGAAGAGGATGTTTGTTTGGGTGATGAAGCCGCTGGCTCTGGCTCTCACAATGAGAATCATATACAGAAGTCATGGATGAGGTTCCAGTCCTACAGAGGTGGCCCCAGAAAGGGATCAGAAGCTGTAATGTTATCAGACTTCCCTGACAGCATCATTAGCGTAAAGCCTAAAGATTAGTGGAGAGCAAAACGGGATCTAAAATATAGCTCTCCATTTTCTAATTTTTTTTTTTTTTGTAAGAAAAATAAAATCACAGAGATGTTTGTGGGGTAAACAAGAATAATCACTACCTAAAGGAAAAGAGATTTCATTGTACCGTTTGTGAATTTATTGTGGTTTCATCTTACTGACTGTGAATTTCTTGATTTTTTTTTTATCTAAGTTGTCACTCCTAATATTTGTCTGTCCTGTATCTTGTGATTTACTAATACTGATATCTCTCTTCAAGAGATGGGAATCCATAGATGTAGAGATGGGTGGCATTTATATCACCTAAGCAACTACGATATAGGGCATTAAATAACAAACTAGCTTTTTCCCTCTGCATTCTACTACTCCATGTGTACTACATCTTGTAGCTGTGCAGGTTTTGCCATTAGAGAGAAAATTAATTATGGATGAGTATTCATTTTTAAAAATCTCAACTATTCAGAGTTGCAGCAAACAAAGACTTTTTTTTCACACGTGTATCAGGGGTTAGTTGTTGCAGAATAGATATTTTGGGTACTTTTTGACACTGACCTGCTACAAGTAAGAGGCATAGAGATAATTCCCATTCGCTTCCCTTCTAATTCCCAGCCTGCCTTTCCAGGGTGGAAACTCTTCCTGCAGTTACCTCCAGATCCCACTAGATGGAAATAAACCTCACATAATGTGCCGAGAAATCCCTTGGGGAGCACCAGAGCTGCTGAAATGTCAGTTTCACGATTCCTACGGGGGGACGGTGAATCGTGAATTTGCGCATCAGGGGCTATGGAGTCCTTGTTCCCACAGGGTCGCACCATTCCCGCCAACCACAGTCAGGAAGTTGGTGCCAATTGCACCAAATGAGAGCACAGACGTGTTTGCAAGGGGATGAGAAACAAAGGGACCTGCCAGTGTGGGTTTCAGCGTATCTCGGTTGAAAGCTGAATGGTACATCCGATAGCAAAGGAAACAAGCACACAGAGGCAGGCACTCCCCATGTCGTGCCTGGAAACTGTTTTTACGCTGCGGCCGTGAGGGGCATCAGACACAGCAAGTGCAAGCAACCTTTTGCGTGCTGTACTACCCCTCTCCACAGACCTCACAGCAAACCCCCCCTGTGGCAGGCAGCGCAGATCAGAGGAGGACAGCTTTGCGCTGCAAACGCTCACGTAGTGATCAGCGGCAGCGAGAGGCGGTCCCCTGCCCTCAGAGGTGTGAGGGGGCTTAGGACGCACGCCCTCCTCCCTGCAAGCCCCATGAACCCAGTTCGTGGCTGCTCTGTGAGCTGCGCCGGGCATGCACAGAGAGTGCCCTGCGTGGGGACCTCAGCCACAGGTGGGTCTGTTGGCCATCCGAGACGGGGCACCTTGGGTTTTGACAGCTCCTACCTCCTGTGGGATCTGGAACTTTTTCACCACGCCGAGCTCGTAGTACATCTGAATGCCACACTTCACCAGCTCCAGCTCGGTGCAGTCAAAGTCAGAGAACCTGAACTCATAGATTTCAAACTTAGTGGGCCCCGGGAGCTCTTCTTTCTGTAAGAGAGGTGGGGATGGCTTATTGCTCTGCTGCTTATGTCATTCCTAGGTTTGCTTATCAAAAACTTATCAGTCTGACACTGCTGTGAACTTTTTCTTTTAGCATATAACACATAAACAGACTGAAATGCAGCTTTTCATAATAACCCCATTAATGGGGGGAGAGGACGGGATTTGGTCAAGTGCATGAAATATTTTTTGTTTTCTGTTGAGCACTTGATTTGATGCAGTTTGAAGACTCAAAATGGGGGAAGACTTACAGCCCTCCTTAATTACTCTGGAGAACAATATGCGTGACAAGCCGAGGTGACTGATGTGTTTCCAGATGGACTTTGAACCCCTTGAGATGAAGTGGCAGGGAGCAGGGACTCCCCAGGACCTAGGGAAGTCGCGTGCTGTGACATTATGACGGTAACCCCAAATTCACGCAGCAGAGGAAGGCAGGATATGCTTTGCCTTCGCCCCTGACCAGGTAGCAGCATGCCAATGCTGATAACTGTTTCCTGCATCCACACAGGCAATGTTTGCTCACCAAGGCCTTTTATTCCAGCAGTACATTGTTCTTACCAGAATGCTTGCCAGCTCCTCTTCCTCACACTCACTTGGCTCCTTCCCCAGCTTTTCTCGTGTTGGCTGCAAAGAGCATGAGTGTGTTAAGCTGACAACCAAACCCCAATGGACTTTGCACTTGGCAGCTTTGGGGCAATCTAGGGTAGCTGTCATACGCAAATTGTGTTTCCTTCCTGGACCTTACTTCAGTTTCTGGTCTTTCAACACATGCTTCCTGGTAGTGTTCTCCCTCTCCTTGGATTTGTGTTTCCCCTACTCGTAAATGTCCCCCTAGATCCAGTGTCCCAGCTCGGTCCTCTAGCTTCACATCCTCTGTACTAAGAAGGTTTTAGGAAATAAATCAGTTTCTCTTCCACCCCTACAGCCCTGCCCTGATTAGTGCCTGTGTGAGCCCACCTCCAAGGTTGGTTTTGCTGAGGAAATTAGAAAGGACGTATTGGGGCAGTGTGCCAAGGTGGAGGGCAGACCACAGAGTCAGAAGAAACTTCTTTAGCCACTGTGCAATGACTAGGGGCCCAGGTGCTGCCTCCACGTGGCTGGAAGCATTTCTGTGAAATGGGAGACCTGTGTCTGTGCCATAAGCCGTGGGCCAGGCCAGTACACCTGGATGTGTGCTGCACATTGTGAGGCATTACCAGAATTTCCTGGATTTCATCCTTGTCACATTTCACGTGGTAGAGCACCATGTCCTGAGCAATGTCCTTCCGGTTCTCCAGCTTGTTCATCTTATCATATGTGTCTGTGTTGAGCACAGACCAACCCAGGAACTGTGTCAAGGACTTGGTGAGGGGAAAAGAAGGAAATGGTGAAATAACTGAAACATCTGTTCCTCAAACGCACAGAAATGTAACAGTGCATGATATATTTTTTGAGAAACACAAGCTCCACTTTGTCCACAATTCTAGCAATAAGCAATCATGTGTTTGCTCCCAGCTGTGACTTACTCCTCAGCAGAGCATCTCCCCAGCTGTTGAGTCTGCCCAGCCCTACAGAACATCCATGCTGTGGAGGCTCAAGGACCTTCTGTCCAGTTCAGTGTACAGAAAACTATTTCTGTGTTGCTGCAAGTGCCTCCATGCCTGTGGAAAGGCTGCTGTTACAATGGTGACAGCAGGTCAGGAATGCTGAGATCAAGGTGGTCTCATCACCTCTTACGTGTATTTACGCACACACTGTGTTTGCTTTCCACTCCTTTGCTGCTCAGTGGCCAATTAAAACTGTTTTTTTTTCCCCACAGTCTTTTAGTTTGATAAGAAAAGTCTGTTTCAGGAAATGTTCTGATTGATAACAGATGCCAAGAGCTGAATGCTTATATTGCATTGAAACTAACATAGGAGCATTTCTAAGCAGCAAGGTCCTTGCTCACAGCTGCTGCTGGTAGATTCAACAGCTGGCCTCCCTTTGTATCTCAGCTACACAGATAATTTCTGTGTAATTTTTTGGGGGGACTGGCCCAGTCAGTGAGAGCCAGCTGTCAGGTATGTGAATGCAGGTCAGAACGGCTGTGTTGGTGCACAGTAGCTGCTCATGGCTAGGTGTCCAACCCAAGAATGCTGAAACAAAATGATGCTAACACAGCTGGGTTTCAAAGGCCAAACTCCCCAGTGTGTCAGATAGCTGCTTTCAAAACTTCCAAGGTGATGTGTAACACCTCTCTAAGCAACAAAGAAGTCTACTTAGCATCAAAACACTGGAGATGTTTTGTGGGTGTACAATAAGCAACAGTGAGCTCTTCAACCATATGAATTACTTCCAGCCACAGAAAGGAACTATACCTCCATGAGGGTTTCATCCTGCTCATCAAAAGGTTTCCCATCTTTTCTGTTATAAAATGTGACGACACCAACAATTTCTTCCCTTTTGTTCACAATTGGCATGGAGAGAACATTTTTGATAGTCCATCCTGATTCATCTAGAGGACCTTCCTTGAAGCAACAGCAAGCAGAAAGACATCATGTACTTAATGTGTTTTCCAGACACATCATCATTCCCATTTGACATTAAGACTTCAGACAAAAGAAGTATTTATATATCTAATATTGACGCAATATTACATTTCTGGAAAAAGAAAAAGTAGAATCCTTCACAGAAGTGGAAGTTTTCACAATACCTGAAAGTTGAACATCTCATCTGCAGCAGCATTCATAATGTTGCAAATCTAGGGGATCACACAAAAGAAAAAGTTTTACAATGTGGGCAATGAGAAGTTTAACTACCAAAACATAGAACTGAATTGATGAGAAAGCAGCATGAGTCTGACTTTATCTCAGAAAGATTTGATGAATCCTAGGTTAAGTACTCACAAATCCACTTTCAGCCACATAGGTTGGCAGCCCAGTAACTAGTGCCCAGTGATCCGGGGTAGGATTTCTGAATGAAAGAAAAATATATAAAGGAAATTAAGGATCTATGTTTACTGAAGGATGATCATGGAGCTGAAGTGTATCCAACTGATTGCATAATCCAGATTTACATATTTCACTCTGAGTTCCTAAACAGTCCTGTTACTTTCAAAGGATCCACATGCACAAGCAAAAAATTTTCATGTAAGTAAATACTTTTTTCTTCAAGGATTCAATACAAAATAACACATAAAATATCACAGTTTGCAGAGGCTTAATAAAAAGTAATTCCTGGGAGTGGGGGCCATGTTTTCAACACAGAGAAAGATAAAAGGAAGTTTCTGGCCAAGGTTGTCTGCCAGCCTGAACTTTGAACACTGCTGTACTGGGGATCAGAACTGAGCAAAACTCCTGTTAAGTCAGGTTTGTCTAAGGTGCCCAAGGCTCCTCTGAAACACCCAGTGGCAAGAAGAGAGGGCAGTTCTCAGAAAGAGGATGTCTTCTGCTGTGAGGAGAGGAGGAAAGACCAGAGGTAGCCCTAAGATGGGATCAGCGACTGAAGGATTAGAGAGAAGCAAGGAAGCGTTGCCTCAACGAAAGGGCATCCTGGGTGGGCTCACCCACTTCCATAGGGAAGGCATGGAGGAGGAGAGATGCCTCAGCCTGGCAAGGAGAGTGGCAAAACTGCTGGCAGTCAAGACAGCTCACTTCTGCATCTAAAAAGAATCACTGGTTGTAGTGAATTTTGGAGCCTGGCTTGCAAGTCAGGATCCCAGTGCCCTTGGGGAAATCTTTATCCCACAGAGATGTGAGCTGAAGAACCAACTTACATTCTGTCTCTCTTACTCAGTCTTCTATTAGTCCTTTGCATTTCTCCTCATGGATGTCTTTAAACCATGGGGAACCTTGGTTTTACCTACACTCTGTGTCAGTACCTTACTTACAGGGACTGGGCACTTACGGAATGACTTTAATGTCTTCTTTTCCATGTAATATGTAATCGATGACCTTGTAAAAGACTATTTCCTGCAAATAAAGAGAAGAGTGGTGTTGAAATTAGTGGTGAGGCAATCCAACCAGGTAGGAGAGAGGTAAAGGAGCCCTGTTCTCACGTACCCTGCCATCTGGAGTGCGAGGCCCTGAGTACGGGGGTACTTCTCCCAGCAGGACTGGCCATAGGTCAAAAAATTCCTGGTTTTAAAATTAAAGAAGTAGTTTTAGAGTAGAAAAGTGCATTCTGCCTCTGATCTCAAAGCAACCATTGCTCTACTGTGCTGGTTTTTGTAGTGTGTAAAATAAGGCACCAAATAATAAGACTAGTTCAATACTAGGCAGCAGAATGATACCCAAATACCTAAATTGGGAAGTGGGGTGCATTATATACTGCCTGTACACAGGGTGTTGCTTCATTCAGTGAACACTGCTGGCTGCACTCAGAGCAAATGACCATGCCAACCTTTTGTGTTCTTCCTTTTCCAGAGTGTGACTATATGGTTAATCTACTACTTGCCAGATTGCTGAAATATTTTGTTTGCTTGTTCTTCCTAGGCTTCATTGTAATGCTGATCAAAGTGTCTCTAGCACACTAATGATCTTTTAATACACCTCTCCACAGGACAGTGTGCCGTAAGAGCTCTGGCAACACAATGGTCAGCCTGATCATGGAATAAAGCAGGGCTCCATTGACAAGGATGCTGCGTGACCCCCACATAGAACTTGACAAAGTTGCAAACAATCAGACCAAAGCAGATGTAACTTAGCTTCTGTCAGCTTGTTTTCATGAAGACAAATTCCATTTAAAAGCCTGGATATTGTGCACATGGATGAGTCCTTCAGGAAAGTGGCTGCTTTGTTGCTGGGGGTTTCCACAGCTATCTCACTATACTTCTGATATCCACAGGCTTTCTGAGGTTGTGTTTGTGTTGCAGGCTTTGACCAGGATTGCCACAGTCAGAGACATTTTCCCCTCGTTTTTCTTCCCAGCCTTTGACAGTCCCATTCTAGTGACAAGCTCTCCCCTTTTCCTCTATTTTTATTAACCCCCGTCTCTTCATTTGCACAACAAAAGAATGCCAACCAAAGTAGGAATTACGACTGGAAGTTAATTTGCACTTTGACGGCCTCAGGAAAACTTATCTCGGTGTGTCTCCCCTCAGGGGACAGCAGCAATCAGAAAGATGCACAACACAGATGTGAACGCTCACCTTCTGCTTTGTCATGTCCAGGAGACCTACTGAGTACCGGTCACAGTTCAGGTATGCCCTCACCGTGTAAAAAGCCTTGTGGAACTGCCTCTCAATGTCAGTCAGTTCCTCAAAAACCTTATTTGCAGACCACAACAGCACCTGCAGCGAAATATCAAAACGTAAGCACAGCCTTTCCTTGGGAGATGGGCTTCCCAAATGTATTTGGAGCAACGAGGAAACGATTGGGGTTTCATACTGCAGTTCCTGAAAAGTGCAGGAAACCTACACAGCAAAATGCAAAAGCATTGCTTATTCGCGCTGGGAATTAGTAGGGAGGAAGAGTCAGGTCATCTCGGAGTATTATGTAGAATTGCAATCTTAAAAATACACCACGAAAAAAGCAGTACTGTCAGGTAGAGAGTTGTCTCCACTTATGTTTTAAAGCCGTTAGTAAAATCTTGCATCCAAAACCGGTTAACACCAAAAACGTTGTGAATTTACAGAGGCTGGTGTTTGAAATATGTGAATCAACGCTTTCCTCAAAGCCTTTGCACAGCTGCTTTGTGTGCACATCGATGTCTGCTCCTTTTACCTGCTCTGTGCCCCACAGATGTACCCTTAAGAAAGATGTTGCTATTAGGCCCCTTCAATAGTGAAAATGGAGGTTGCATAAGTATTGCTGGTGGTGCAAGGAGAGCCTTCGTGGGCGTAAAGGAGAAATATTCTCTGAAGTGGTAAGGAAGCATCTACACAATCCCTCAGCTTAGCTAACGCATGTGTGCTTGTATCCAAATGTGAGTGCTTTGCTTTCTGATCCCAGGAAATGTGAGGAACAGTGCTTCAAAAGCACTGAGAGCTGCAACCTGAAGTGGACTGGACCTGTGCCTTGAACAAGAAGTGCTGTTACATGGCCACTACCAGAAAAAGGGTGCCTCACCTCTTCACCTCTGGACACTAGCGGATAATTTTGACAATCATGAGCTGCATCGTTTCTGTTTCTAATTCATAAACTGGGACAACTCTATAAAATCTGAGATGTTCATTGTCAGCATCCCTCAGATAGGATAGTGGAGGAAAATGAGCAACAACTTAGTCTTTGGCACTTTACAGCATGCAATAAGTAATGCTGAAAGCCACAAACTCTGTGAGGAGGACCAAAACAAACATCTGAAAAATGTCTAATTCATGGCATGATGTAAAAAAGATGGTCAAAATGTATTATATGGTCTTCTAATCAGACTCTTACACAGTGTCTGAGCACAAGCAGACTGAACTGTCTTTCCACAAACCATTTTATGCACAATACTGCACAGTCTTTGTGGATGGGATTTGCAGCATTAAAATCCTAGACCACCTTTGAGAATGTGATTTGCTCATTCTGTATTTCGGTGCTTTTGGTTATAACACAGTGAACTGTATTAACTCTCACACAGACTGTAGGACCTAGATAGCCAGAGGTCTGATAACTGAACTACTGGTAGAACTATAGCAGTGTGTCCTGCATCTCGTTCTCACTTTCCTCCCTTTCTGTGGGACCTGCTGATGCAGCATAGCATATGGACACAGGATTCCTGGGTTCAGAACCAGACCAGAGCACCCTCTGGGAGACATTAGGCCTTCCACTTTTTGAGTCTCCACTTTGTCTTCTATCCCATTTCTTACCAGCTCTACTGCTAAGCCCTCAACAGCAACAAACCTTTGCCGGTTCTGCTGTAGTTGAACTACTCATCATTGCTGAAGGCTGTCTGACCTGGCCATCATTCATGTTTTTTATTAATAAAATTAGGTAAAGCATATACAATAAAGAATTAGTAAATGTAAGTGCTGTCCCAAAGCTTCAAAATAAACTTGCATTCTGCATTAATTTTGCTGAGACAGGCATTTATTCCCCATGGGAACCCCCACTGGAGAATAGATCATGGCTGCCACGAAGCACAGACTCCACTGCATGTCCTCTTCAATGACAACTGGTTGCCTTATACAGAAAGTGATTGCAAGGATTCACATCCATCCCAATGAATTTGAGAATCCTATTGTAATACAAGTCATGGAAAAGAATGTTGGCTGATTATTTCAATTCAGAATACCCTAAACCCCTAATCTATGGTCATTTCTACTGATAGAGGCCAGTACAAAAGCTGTTCAACAAACGTTTTACTGTCTCTAAGAAGAAATTCAATTGCATTTTTTAATGAGCAGACGAGGAAAAAATACCACATTCTCCTACGTCTCAGGAAATCTTTTAGTGCTGCTGGCTGAAGTGGTTAAATGACCCAAGAGTGTTTTGCAGCCTCAAGTCAACAAAAGTCAGTCCTGCTGAAACTGGTGCCACTGTGTCAGGTCCTGCACTTTTGCCAGTAGCAGCAGAAAGAGTAATGAAGGACTCTGGGGAAGGAACAGCACCTGAAAGCACTTGAGGGTATCTTTTTTTCCTGTTCTTAGGGCACAAATCTCTGAAGCAGATCAGGTACACCTTTGAAATCAGAAGAATGCACTCACTTGGTTTTGAGATATAACCCGTTTTGCATTTTCACTCTTACCTGGCCTCTTCGAGTCTCACAATTGTGAAGATAGCTCAAGTGATAAATTTTCAGGTTCAAGGATGCAAAATTCAGGTATTTCAGAAAAAGCTGCAAAGACAAATTACGAGATTGAGTTGAATGCAGTACCAGCCTCATGCATACTGTATTTCATAACACTGCTTTACAAGCATCATGGGAATTTCCCTGGATAAATGCTTTGCTGTGCATTGGCATGAGATGAGGCTTATCCCACTGTGTCTTCCATGAAAGATTTATGAGATAAGCAACCTCATTTTAAGCCTCTTTTATTAGAGGGTGAGTCCCCTTTAGGGAAACTCACAACACTGGAGCTTCATGGAAAGCAGACATCCCCAGTATAAGAGAGTCTGTTTTGCAGGACACAGGTAACACCCTTCTGATAGAAACTCAGCTACTGACCACTTACTGTTTCATCTGAGCTGGTGAAGTGTGGGCCGTTCAGTTTGTTAATAGCCACAATGACAGCAACCAAATCTTTGCCATTCAAGATGGGTGTCGCAAGGATGTTTTTTGTAGTATAGTTGGTGAGCTCATCGACAAATGGACTGAACTGGGCACACTGTTTAACAGAAAATTCACAAATTAGGCATTTTCCACAATATCCGCAGACTTAAAGCCAAGATAAAGCACAGCCTCTCAAAGCGAGCTGCCTAAAGAAAGTTTTACTTCAAAATTATTGAGGAAGATGAATTAACAGAAAATTGGACAGTCTACTGATGATAAAGCTACTATCAAGAGGAGAAGCTGTGGCTTCAGATTGCAACGTGTGCTTCCAACTTTCTGTGGGGATCCTGCTAACCATAAGCTTTAACATGTCAAACTGTCAGAACAAGGAGGCTCTCCACCGATCATTCTCAGATAGATGACATTCTTCATAGTGCCTCCTTCCCCCTTTCCTCCGGCTTCTTGTTAGCACTGTGGAGGGAATACACACAGATACCTTGCAGCACTGCGTAGCCACGGTGTATGAACCAGTGCAGTCACCGGGAAGTTCACTCACTCTCATTTTATTTCTGCTTTTGCCTGGACCCTGAGGCTTGTTGTCAGCTTGCAGCATCCATGAAGCCATCTACTCCTTGTTCTCCCAGACATTCCCTCACATGTTGCCGGACCTTTGTGCGCAGGATGGCAGATGGTGGGGCAGGTACTCCAGGGGAGGATGCAGTTAGCACCACTAGTGTGTGTTTCCTGGCAATCTCCCCCTGCATCTGGCAGCAATCCACCCCCTTTTGCCCCAGGAGCACTTTGGTAGTGGTTGCCATGTGCAGACAGCTCCGCAATGGACTGGACTGCCTGGGAAGTCACCCAGGAGGGAACTGCCATTCAAACCACTGGGGGCATGCTAGGTCATGCTGTGGGGCCAGTTCAAAAGGAACTTGTCCAGTTCATCCTTGTATCAATATTACATTTCCCCCCATGACAAAAGAAAACAAAGCCGAGAAAGCATAGTACAGGGAAAGCAGATGGCCCATCACTTCACTTGCATGGGGTCCTATTGACACCTCCATCACCTGCCATTAGGGAGTGCAGGGATGGTCCTGCTGACCCAAGATCTTCTCTCTGCTCAGGTGAATAACCCTTCCACCTGGGTTAGAAAAAACCACACAGCTCTGATCATATTCAGAAGGTTGAACCAGAAGAATAATCTCTCCCTAATGTACTTCTCCCCATACCTTCCCCACTGCTGGGCCTTCTGCCAAATGGGATAGACCAAGCATTGAGTCTCTGGGTCTCCTTCAAAGGAATGTCTTATGGTGATGTCTGAAAGCACTCGGAGTGCAGCTCTTAGCTCACAGCAACGAAATGCTCCCATATTTCTGAAGAAACATCAGGAAGCAAACAGCTTTAAAAAGTTTGTCACATTCTGATGCTTCCCCCAACATCAGAAACAACCCAGATGTCAAAAAATAAAGCTGCAGAACCAAATCAGTGTCTGTGTTCTGTGGAAGACAAGGAAGGTTTTGCCAAAGGGTTTGGATATGCCTGTATTGAGCAACAAATGAATCGATCAACAGATGGTCTCTCTATAACTAGCAAACAATAGATGGAGTAATCCCAAATGCCATATTTGGGTCACATGGATTTTAGTTTTATACCTATGATTAGAACAAGCGGATTGTTATTGCTGCCATTCTGGTTTAAGGTGATTCAACCCAGAAGTATGGGGAGTAAATGTTGTCACGAAGGCATAAAAATAAAACATTAAAATTCCTGAGATCCCTCCGGTTTACAATGTTTGCTGAAAGTTTTTTTGGTCAAAGCTTGTCTCGTTCTGCTTCTGATGAAGATCCACCATACACAGGTTGCAGCTAACACGCTTGTTCTGAGGTCCACTCCCTCTGTTTAATAAAAATGTCTCTAAATGCCCTTGGCTGAAATTTCATCAGACAGTAACCATTTTCAAATGTTTTCTCTAGCATAAAAACCCACTTTGTACTCCTGTAAAGGATTTCTCTCTCTTTGCAACTTACTAATGGATCACAAAATTCTGTGAAAAATTCCATGTGCATTCAGTGCAGATCTGACTTCCTCACTCTCCTCTGCTGGACTACGTGTGACTTTTATTTTTTTTTTAATTTGACAGACCAAGTGTGGCAGAGTACTTGTTTCCGGGCACTAAGACCCAGTGTAATTAATGTGCTTAGCTTCACCTCATTCTATAAATGAAATTGAAAGCAACTTGAAGACTTGCTACAGGTGCTTTTGTTTCCAGTACACAGCTATTACACCACAAGACCTTTGGCCAAGCACTGAGATGCACTGCTGCCTCTTGACCCCTTTGCACTAGTAAGCATGTGAGCCTCTCTTCTACCCCGTAAATGAATAAATGGCAAACATACCTCATGGACATCCTTGATGTTCATGGTTTTCTTTGTCTGTGCAACATAACCCACAATGCCTATGTCCAATGGATAGACAATCTCGCAGTCTGGGGACACCAGACATTCCTCCAGAGTACTTCCCTCTTGGATGTTGAAAAGCCTTGTTGCCAGTTCAGGTGTGCCATTTCTCTGCCTGTACATGAAAAGACTACAGCGGTCAGCATGAATAAGGGACCTGATTCTTCTCAAGGTCTTGAAAACAACTTTCTCCATGTTGATGCTTTCTTGCATGTCTTGGATCAACTCAAAAAGTATTTCACTCTCATTGTTATCCCATGACTCTGTTTTCAGTTTCTTCTCAAAGTACTGCTTGGCAAAAGCAGGGTTGCCATCAAGAAACTTCTCCACGTCGTCTTGACTAATGCTCATTGTGAATGCCCTGGATCTTGCAGAAGACGTGGTCGTTGCAAGCAGCACTCTAATTTCTCATGTAGTTCCTAAGCTTTCGTAGTAGAAGATGCTGCTTCTAGAATGACTAAGGGTGAAGTGTCACTGCAAAGAGAGCTTGTCATCAGGAAGATGTATTCCTTTATAGCGCCGAAGGTGAGTCTGTGAGAGGACAGATCTTCTCAAACAAAGAGATTAGATGACCTCTACAAGAGCTTTGAGTCAACTTTCCGCTTCTTAATCTAACTGCAAACAAACATTGAGTACCTGCAATATCCGAAAACACTCTCCTTTCTCTTGATAAGCAGAACACTTACTGAAACAATTATATTGAGGCAGCAGCAACAGGGAAGAACTGCATCTCCTAACATTGAAATAAGCTCTTTAAAGTCTAATTAAATATATACTGCTTGGGCCTAATCCTTGGCTAACAAGGTGAGCATCTTATTATTCCTGCTCTCCTAGCTCCTAGCAGGAGTAGGAAGTGCATCCTTTGCAAAAGAACACGGTGGCCAGAACAAAAATAGTGAGGTAACGCTGCTCTTTCAGGACTCTCTCTACAATTTCATGACTCTTGGACGGCTGTCTAAGGGCTGTTCTCTAACAAAAGCACCAATCCTGAGTGCTTTAGTCCAGGATTTGAATTGAATTTGCAAGGACTATGGCCTTTTCTTCTTGCTAGTAAAAACCTGGACAGGAAAATACGCCTCATAGTGGGTCCTTTCAGGAAGGAGAACTTCCATTTGGGATTACTGGATTGAAACACTCTAAGGAAACATGGGAAGCCTTGAAGGCAACACAAACAAACAAAAAAACAAACACCAAACAAACCCCAAGCAAACCAGGAAGGTAGAAAAATTTCCCTCATCGCTATCAGTGGAGAGAAAGGGTGAGAATTATGGCTGTGAGAAACATAAGTTGTTTCACATCAATGAAGCCACCATGCTGTGCAAACAGCAGGTGAGGACAAATGTGATGCTGGGAGGCAAAATGCCTCAGAGGCCATCACCTTTTGGAGGAATTAATGCACGGGAGTTTTCATTTCTGGCAAACAAGAGTAAGTCCCATCCACCACATTCCTGGAAAATAAACAAGAGTAACCTGCTGAAGGAGTAAGGGCCCAGGCTGTGCCCTCCCTGAGAGAGTTGTCACCACTGCCAGGAGTGGTTCAATCCAGCCCGAAAGTGAATGTGGATACCTGGGAGGAAGGCGGTTTGTTCTGGTAATTCTCGTAGCCAGGACACTAAAATAGAACTACTGCTCAAGAAGACTTGAAGGAGGTGATGTGTGCCAGGGTCACATACACTGCCTCCAAAAACCATGTTGCAAAAGAGGGACAAGGACCTACTCAGAGCTGGCATGGTGCGTGACTGCTCCAGATCTCCGGAATGAGGATGGGTGAAACCTTTTTCTGAGCAACAGGCAGGATTGTCCCAAGCACAGGACTTGGTGGCAATGTGGAATTTTAATTTTCAGACATCTGTAGGGATGGCAGTGTTTCAGGTTGCAGGTTGTTAAGCCAGGTTTCACGTGTCACAGCAGTTTTCTGGGCACAAAGGCTGGCAGAAAGAGCCAGAGGGAATTTTCTTTGGTTTTGACTGAAAGCAAGGGAAAGAATTGCCTGAAAAATGAAGGTGAGAGACAGTTTAGGTGAGCGAGACCATGAAATGAAAGTTTCAAACTGGAAAAAAACAGGCCATTTTGTAAATTATGTGTTCTTGTTAATCTCAAGGAAGAGAAAACCAGACAGAAAATGTATAAGCACGGTGAAAATATTGAAGATGTGTAAAAAATACAGTGAACAACTAAAAATGGAAAGTAAGAAAAGTCAAATTGAATATAAGGTTACATTAGGAACATGAACACTTTCTGTTTATCATATAGGGAAGAGCAGGAATATTAGGGAAAGCATTGAAGAGCTGGAGTTTTTAGAATGTTGTGTGAAATAACCTCTAAACTGTTAATGAGTTTTTCTGACAATTAATGGAGGATCTTCTGAGGTTTTGAAATGCTGGGAAAAGGTAAATGCAATGATTCTTTCTGCAAAATAGGAAAAAGAAAGAACTGGAGAAATTCACAGCAGACCATTTTAAATTTGGCTTCTAAGAAAATACAGGAACAAACATGTGTCTGTACATAAATAGAGGAGACAAGTAGCATCCAGTGTGATTTTGTCAAGAGCAAACTGTGTCATACATCATAATTTCCTCTGTAAGTCTTGAGACAAAAAGAAAGTAGTGACTGCCACAGCTCTTGACTGATGAGGAAATGACACACAAGATACTCTCTTCAGGTGAAAGCTTAGATGAAGTAGTTAAAAGGCGGCAGCAAATATATTTGAGAGATGAAGATCTGTTGTTAGTAGCTCACTAAAGACATTCAGAACCTCTTGAGTAGGCTTCTCTGTGGAGGCTCTCATAGATGTAGGACGTCTCATTATTTCCACTGATGGGTGGAAAAACATTAAGTCGGCGAGCAAGCCACGGTCAGGTGTCTGCAAATGTGTTTTAGCACCATCTTAAAACTAAGTTGCAGACAGATGTGTTCAGGACTAGAGCACTAGACCTCACCAAGGGTGTATGGAAAGTCCTATTCAGGTGGAGAACAGTCACCTGGTGAATTCATGGGGATGAGTCACTGTCTGGGCTTAACAGAGACTGCACATGTGTCAAGACTACCAGGCAGAAGGAGGTGTACATCCATTAGGATGAACCTTCTATTGCATAACAGATTATGCCAAGTTGTACTGAACAGATGTCTCACGTGGAATACAGTGGGAAAATGTGACCTCTGAGGAAAGACTGAGGTTTCTCATGTCTCTTTTCTAAACAAAACAGTCTCCAACTCTATTAAATGTTACTGCTAAGAAAAAGGGATCAGTCTGTTCTCCATAATCGTGTCAGTACAGTAGATTTTAGACCTGCACAGAAAAGGCTTCCAAAACAGTGGGAAGAGATTGTTCTTACCCAGTCTTAGGTATCCCTAGAAACAGAGATGCATCCTTTTCTTCAGCAAACACTTTTAGTCAGAAGAGATGCACATGTAGTGATAGAGCCAGCTGGAACTCGTACAGACGAACAACTTCTTAAAACTGGAGGAAAACTAATTTTTCTGCTACTGGATTTTTGAAAGAAGTCTGCAGTGAAGTGTAGCTCCTCTTACAGTTCAGCATACTGTGGCTTGGCACTTTTTAGGACCTATTGGAACCTCCTTGTGCCAGGTCATATTTGTGTAAGGAGAGAAGGTCTCCAGGGAGCTCATAGCCACTTCTCAGAAACGTTTCAGTGTCCATGAATCAGACCATCTATGAAAGAGCTATCACAGGACGCAGCTATACAGTTAGAGGACATGCTCAGAGGACATGCCCTGTATCTGAACAGAAGGTCCTTTTGGCTTTGCAACATGTGGTGTTTTCTTGACATAAAAAGGTTTTGTGGATGCACTAAGAGGTATGCAAACTGCTGTATATGCTTTTTGACTGTCATTTGGGAGCCGAAAAATTGCAAATGGGTGAACTTTTTGTATCTTTTGGATCCAAACCCTCCAGATATTCACAATTTGTTTGGTATGAAAGGTTATGTTTCGTTCAAGATAAATGTTTTTGTTTCAAAACATTTATAAGAAAAACAAGCAGTGTCCAACAGCAATACTCCAGGCCCAAAATGCGAAAGATCCAAACTCAGTTCCTGCTTCTGCACTCAGGGTTTGAAACTTAACAAGGCTTCCTCCTAAAAAAGGGGAAGGAATGAAGGTCCTAAAGTACTGGATTTTCTAGCTGCAGAGGTGGAGAAACTGATGCAACATTTGTTAGGCTAAGCCAGGGCTGTGTAAGTGCAGTGCAGTTGAAACCATGTAGGAGTGGCAGGTGGAAATCTAAATCACCTTTGGAAATGGAGCCAGCAGTGCCACAGAAACCCCCTTGGAGAAGGGTGGTGGGCTGATGTACCCAGAACTCAAAGCATGGTGCAAAGGCTTCAGGTATTCCTTCCCTAGGCCTTCAGGGATACTCAAGTGGCACCAAGAAAGCCATTGCCGGCATAACATTGGTAACTGAAGTGGATACAATCTAAGCTTGCAATAGGATAATGTTCTTTGAATGGACTTAGGCAGACAATGGAGGATTTTGGAGGAGGATGAGGATGCTATTTTAGGAAACTTACACTAGACTGTCACGCAGTATAATAATATCTGAACACGTGTGGTTGCACAAATTTGTTTTTAATAGCTTTAAACCTGAATTGCAAAGTTGGCACAGGACCTCTACTTTGTGGGGTGTCAGTGGACGTCATTTAAACAGTGTTTCAAATGAAAACCTCAAATGTTTAAGCTGCCCTGAAGGCTTGGCTAGCAGCTGGGAAAATGAGCTCAAGTTCCTGGGAATAAAATTCCTCTCCTCCCAACAACTCATATGACGGTCTCTCCCCAGTCCTAGGAGGGACACTGCTGGAGACTCCAACTGTGGAGTAGAATCATCCGGTGCAAAACGTACCTTCCAGGAAAAGCAACACTGTTAGGACCACTTATGGGACTGTGTCCAAAGCAGTGGGTGCAGACAGTGCACAGTGTCTGCAAAGCAGAAAGAGGGATGGCAAGTGCTGAGGATGTCAGAGCTCAAGATGCTTTAAGCCTCTCCTTCCTGGGAACATTGTTTTCCTCCTAACCAAGAGGTTGTGGGGAGGGGAGCTGCAAGTGACTAATTTGATTAGACACTATCCTTACAGGATACTGTATTGACAGCTATACTCAAACCTTTCTGACCCCCTCATCCGTTGCTGCATAACGAGATTGCAGCTTATCTGATTTACCATGTAATATTCTCATGCCACCTGCTTGTACACAAGAGTTAGCTTTCCTGCCTGGAGCTATGGGAGCCCAGCGAGGATCAGTCATGTCACTTGCCTCTCCTGGGCCAGGGTCTTCTTCTACTCCCCAGGGTCTGGTCTGCTCCCCCAGTTGCACGTGGATTGTCTCTTGCTCCACGGAGGGTCAATGTGCAAAACCTTACAGTCTTTGCTCAGCATCCTCCCCCTTTCCTTCCCCTCTGTGGCTGTCCAAGGACCTTTAGATGGCACCACAGCATGACCCTGCCTCCTGGGATCTTGCCCCTTGTCCCAGACACTGCTGTGCCACACTCCTGCCTGCAGTGCCAGGTAGTAC